AACTCCTTTCCCAATAGCATTAGAGCGCCTACACCAAATGGACTGCAGCAATCCAAGGAGGCACCTCAGCACCACCTTCAGGGATGGGTAATAAACACTGGCTGGTCAATGATGCACAATTCACATGAATGGTTTAAAAAATAAATTGTTTCACTGTGCCCACTCTGCTTCTTAAATCTTCAAAACAACTCTAATGAATTTGTTAAATACGATTTCCCTTTCAGAAACCTAAACCAACTCTTCCTAAAGTATTATTTTCCAAATGTTCTGCTACTACCATCTTCATAATGGATTCTAAAATTTTACCAAAGACAGACCGTAGCCTGCCTGGTTTAGTTTCCTGCTTTCTGTATCCCTCCTTTCTAGAACAGTGTTACATTTGTCGTTTATCTGCACGGGCCACTTCAGAATCTTGGGAATTTTGGAAAATTGCAATCAATGGATCCACGACCTCCGCAGCCACTTCCTTGAGGATCCTCGGATACTGGGATCAGATTCAGACAACTGTCAAACCTTTAGTCCCAAATAGTTCTTTTCCTAGTGATTTCGATCATTTTAAGAGCCTTCCTCTATTTGCTTCTTGATTTTCCAGTATTACTGGGATGCTCTTTGTATCTTTTACTGTTAAGACATATACAAACTATTTATTCAAAATTCTATGCCATTTCTAGTGTCCCCTGATTAACTCATCCTCTGAGTGACCAGCATTTACTTTAGCTACTTGCATTAGCTTTTACTGCCTTTTCCTATATCGCTTGCAAATCTCCTCATCTTCTTTCCTTGCATTTTTTTGTGATCATCCTTTGCTACACTCTAAAACATTCCTAATCTTCTAAGTTACCACTAGTCTTTGCGGCATTGTATACCTTTTCTCTCAATTTGATACCATCCTTATGCTTCTTAGTTATCTACGGATGATGCCATCTTTCTCCTTGAATCTTTATTTCCAATGGATTATATAAATATGTGGCATATAGGAAGATGGTTATGGTTGTAGGAGGGCTGTCATCCCAGATCTAGGGCATCTCTGCAGCGTTCTTCAGGGTGGGGCCTTAGACCAAACCATCTTCAACTGCTTCATCAATGACCTTCCCTCCATCATAAGGTTAGAAGTGGGGATGTTGGCTGATGATTGCACAATGTTCAGTACCAACCCCGATTCCTCAGATACTGAAGCAGTCGATGTTCAAATGAAACAATATCTGGGACTATATCCAGGTTTGGACTGAAAAGTGGCAAGTAACGTTCACGCACACAAATCCTGGACAATGGATGATCTCCGATAAGAAATAATCTAGCCACCACTCTTGACATCCAATGGCATTACCACTGACCAGAACCTGAACTGGACTTACCATATAAATATATCAGCTAGAAGAGCAGGTCAGAAGCTAGGAATACTGCAGCAAGTAACTCAGCTCCTGACTCCCCAAAACCTGCTCACCACTTAAGGCACAAGTCAGGAGTGTGATGGGATACACCCCACTCGCCTGGATGAGTGAAGCTCAACAGCATCCAGGACAAAGCAGCCTGCTTGATTGGCACTATATTCACAAACATCCAATCCCTCCACCATTGACTCTCAGTAACAGCAGTGTGTGCTATCTACAAGATTCTGCAGAAACTCACTGAAGATCCTTAAAAAGCATCTTCCAAACGCATGACCACTTCCATCTAGAAGGACAAGGCAGTAGAACATGGGAACACCACCATCTACAAGTTCCCCTCCAAGCCACTCACCATCCTGACTTGGAAATATATCGCCATTTCTTCAGTGTCACTGGGTCAAAATCCTGGAATTCCCTCCCTAAGAGCATTGTGGGTCAACTGCAGCACAACGACTGCAGCAACTCATGAAGGCAGCTTACCACCACCTTCTCAAGGGCAACTAGGAATGGGCAATAAATGTTGACCCAAACAGCGATGCCCAGGTCCCATGGGTGAAAAAAGAAATTGAATATTGCTTAAAAGAGAGATGTTGTTGAAGTTTATCATCAAGACAAATGCAAGAATGGCAAATTTTGAAGGATCTTAATAACTCATATGTTAACAGAAAATGGTGTACCAGTAGCCAAAGCATTGCCTTGGAGAAAGTAAAGGAAAACAGTAGGCTCTGCTAGCTTCCACGTAAATTAATGAAAAAGGCAAGGCTTGAACATATTCTCATTTTCAGAAGAGAGCGTAAGAACATATGTCACTTCTAGCAAGTGTTAATGAGTCATCTTACATTTTTCACTATCTTAATCTCATTGTTAATGTAGTTGTTTGCACAATCAGGGTTGTTCAGCAGGCACATTAGAAGGTGTCTTGTTTAGTGATTTGCAAGTGCAGGTTTGTTGAGTACAGTCTATGTTCTGCCTTTCGTTAACAATCACAGGAACATGCCATTTGATTCAATCAGCCAATTGTTGGAAAGTTACTCTACAGGGGCTACAGGAATAATATTTTCCACTAATAAATTGCGGCTATCAGTCCAAGAAGATATTCTGCCCATCACATAGTTAGACAATAAAACATATACATTTCCACGCTGGTGTGATGCTAGGTACATCGGCTGTAAGTCCCAGTGATTGGCTAAACGAGTCAAACAGCATGTTTTTTCAATTGTCTTGCCTCAAGGATCCTACACAATGGGGTTATTCTTTAATCTATCTCTTTAAACAATGCAAGTTCCAAAATAGCCTGTAACCTGATTGGTTCCAGAATGTATTATGCTAATTAATGGTTCGAAATCCATTTTATGAACACACCATCCTGACTTTGCCAATTTGATTTGCTCAATCTCTACGAAGATGGAAGTCATCCACTGTTACTGCAGTCCTTTCTTGTAAACACTCATTATTACTTGATATATAATATGCCTACAATGTAACTACTTACAGGGGGTATATAAACTATTTCCACAAGTGACCTCCAACATTTACCATATTTTGTTACCATCCAAACTGATCTGATAGCTTGATCCTCAGGCCAAGATCATTGCACACTACTGTACAGGTATCTTCTGTTTAGAATGTATTCTAAGGGAGCAGTTTGTTCAACTGCAGTTTGTAAATTAGGGACAGTTCCTGAATATCACAATCTCTATCTTTGTTTTAAGCACAATTACTGACCATGCTTAGTCTTTTTAAAGGTAAGCTGCTGGCTATCTGTCCCACTTGCCACCTCTCTGTATCATCCTCTTATGAAATGTTGCTTCCACTCTCCACTTCCCTCACCAACCCTTCCGTTTGTTGACCCTCTCAACTGTTGCTTCTCTCAATTCTCCTTTGCATTTTCAGTCCAACTTGCTGTTTTCCACCAGTCGCTGTCTTCCCCCTCCAGAACAAAGTGGCCACTTCCACCACTCTCAGGCAATGCATGCTACACACCAACTAGTCGCTGCACAGACATTTTTGCTCGTATCACCTTTGTTCTTTTACTTTAAATCTGTGTCCTCTCCTTCCTGATCTTTGCAGGAACGTGGATAGTTTCTTCCTTTCTACCTCAATCCAACTTCCTCTCAGACTTCCCTTCTCCATGGAAAAACAGTCCCAACTTCTCTGATCTTTCTTCCTAACTGAAGCTCCTCATCCCTGGAACTATTCTCATATATCTTGTCTGCACTTTCTCCAATGACATCATATCTTTATTAAAGGTGCACAGCCCCAAACTGGATGCAAAGCTGCAGCTGAAGCTAAACTGGTGCCTTACACAAGTTCATCAAAACCTCAGTGCTCTTGACATCTATAGGCTTATTACTAAAGCCCAGAATACTGCATGCTTTATTAACTGCTCCTTGCACCTTTCCGATCACCTTCAATGACTTCCATAGACATACACCCAAGTCTCTCTGTTTCTATACCCCTTTTAGTGTTGTGCCCCTTATTTTATATTGTCTCTCCACGTCTTGCCAAACTGAATCACCTATCATTTCTCCACATTGAATGTCATTTGCTAGTTGTTGGCCCATTCCACTAACAAGTCTATTGTCCTTCTGAAACTCTACATTACTATCCTCACTGTTCACATTGCTTTCCAGTTTAGTGTCACCCGCAAATTTTAAAAATTGCAGCCTTCACAGTAAAGTCGGGATCATCAAATACATTAGGAAAAGCAAGGGTCTGAACCTGGACCCCTGGGGAAGTCTTCAGACCTTCCTCCAATTTGAAACGCCTCCATTAACCACTATACTTTGTTTCCTGTCATGCAAGCAATTCCATATTTACACCGTTAATGCACAGAGCAAGATACGTTCCAGTACAATCCTGGGATGTTCCAGCTTGATGATCCCAGTATCACAGAGGAAAGCACTTAAGGAACTAGGGCAGCTATTATTGTTCCTTTCATACAGCACTATGCCAACAGTACTGGAAACCTTTCGGAGTTCAATGCTCCTCCAGGAAGCTGGGTCGCTTCAGGACATTATATTTACTATACTCAGTGTTGCCAAAATGCCATCTGGTTCCAGTCAAATCAAACACAGTTCTCACAATGTACCACAAAGCTCCAGCAATGCAGCATAGCCAGATCACAGACATACAATTCCTTAAGCTACCCACAAGCTTTTCACTGCCGGTCATAATACACCATCAAGTCAGGACACTAGTCATAGACGAGATCTGTCCTCAATAATCAAGGCGTCATTCTTGAACCTCACACTCAGCATTGGTCTTCAGCTGACCCATAGCAACTTTTCAATGAATAAACACACTGATAATTTTATTAAGATTTCTTTTTTTCCCTTGTTCAGCCTCATGGGAAACCATTTAACAACAGCAGCTTTACTCTGAGATTCTTGGATTTTAATTGGCCGTTTATGACAGGACTTTGGTCTCTAATCAAGCCCTCATTTCCTCTTCCATTCAATTGCTATTTACATGCCTTTAGAAGACTTTTGGATTCTTTATATGTTAGCTCCCGGTGTCTTTGCATATTTCAATCTGCTGAGCCTCCACCACTGGAATGCAAGGATACAGCACATTAGCATGTGGAGCTTGCACATCTTGTTACATCCCTACCTTTGGTTGCAGAATCCTTGGACTTTGGCTTCTTCTTGCAGACATATGGCCGAGCGATGCCACAGTCTTTATTTTGCCATCTTCCAGAAGATTCTGTCCTAATAACTCCACAGTTTTCCTCAAATGAGTTTGCAGGCTGGTCTATGGCAGAAAGGAAAAGAAGACATCAGACATTAGTGTGTTGAACCTAGGCATAGACCAGATCTGCTGTTAGCTTGTGTTATAGATAAGTGGCACTCTCCAAAATGGCCACACTGAATATTACACCACCACCACGCCCCAAGGTCAGGCCACAAACAAAGTGATACATATTCAGCAGTCTGTGACTGTGGCAGTACTGGGGGTTCAAACAACCTTAGCAGCAGCCAGCTGGACAGCAAATTAAATCACTGCTATCCAATGATTCCTGTTGCAACTTGAGCAGTCGATCAAGTGATACAAGTCGATCAAGTAACACAAGAATAGATGGCATCAATTATCACGCCTAGGGTTGACCAGGATCAGAATAATTGAGAAGAGTGCTCCTGACACCTGGGTTGTTGGGGGGGTGGAGGGGAGTGGGGGATGATGTAACAGGCAGAAAGCAAGATAAGGAGAGAATGAAGAATCAAGAAAAGTCAGAGACAGACAGCAAGAGAATTAGTTTGGGGAGAGCTGTTTAGACACACCTTTGATCTGTTTGGTGTAACATTGATCACCATTTCTGTGGACAAGCAACAAGGAAATGTCTGAAAACTGATGTTGTGACACAGTAAAAACCAAGTACAGTTCTTTGTTTCTGAAGAAGCGTCTAGGCCCAAAACGTCAGCCTTCCTGCTCCTCTGATGCTGCTTGGCCTGCTGTGTTCATCCAGCTCTACACCTTGTTATCTCAGATTCTCCAGCATCTGCAGTTCCTACTATCTCTGAAACAGTTTAAAGCTTGAGATGTTCTATTTGCTGCCTGGGCTCACTTACAGAGCAGACAATCAGGAGGCTGGAAGAACACAGCAGGCCAGGCAGCATCTGGAGGAAAGGAGAAGTCAATGTTGGCTGCTCCTTTCCTCCAGATGCTGCCTGGCCTGCTGTGTTCTTCCAGCCTCCTGATTGTCTATCTTGAATTCCAGCATCTGCAGGTTTTGTCTTGGCTCACTTATAGAGTGGTGACTTGACCTGAGTACTGGTGGACAGGTCATCGTTGGGCCTTTATAACGTGACATTAATGAAAAGGATATTAAACAGAAAGGGTGACACCCCAATCCCCCAAGGTAAATGGGGGTCTCTTGTATCCGAGTTAGGGAGCTGACAAATTTCTTTCATAAAATTTTGTAACAGGGTCAGTGAAATTGAAGTTGTTAGAGTATCTGAGAAGAATACAGAACAGCTTCTCCTGAAATTAGATATTCAGGATAAACATGTTCTGTGGAAAGCTCATTGAGTAGAAGATAGAAATTACCAACTCAAGTATATGTTTCTAAAAGGGTGAAGTGAAAGCACAGACACCAACTGCAGTTTTTGAAAAATCTCTAGGTATGGGACTGGAGAGGGGAAATGGACTCCTATTTAGGGAAAGTTGTAATAAAGAAATAAGCCTGCAATTTGGAGGTGAGTTTGTCTGACTTCAATTATGGATAAGATTCCAGAGTCCATAATGCAGGATATAATTGGTGAAAGGTATGGGCTTAATTGGAATAATTAACATGGATTGGCAAACGACAGGCCATTCATGATTGAGGACATCATGTTATTATTTTTTATTTATTCATTCACACAATGCGGCTGTTGCTGGCTGGGCCAGCATTTGTTCCCCATCCCTAATTACCCAGAGGGCAGTCAAGTGTCAAACCCATTGCTGTGGGTCTGGAGTCACATGTAAGCCAGCCCAGGTAAGGACAGCAGTTTCCTTCCCTAAAGGGCATTAGGGAACCAGATGGGGTTTTAGACACAATCGACAATGGATTCATGGTCATCATTAGATTCTTAAATCCAGAATTCAAATTCCACCATCTGCCGTGGCGAGATTCGAAATCGGGTCCTCTAAACATTACCTGGTCTCTGAATTAACAATCAAGCGATAATACCACTCGGCCGTAGCTATACCAATGGATGAGGGGTTACAATGCATATTGTGTATGCGGATTTTCAGAAGGAATTTGATGAAGTGCCACGTAAGAGACTTGCTACAAGAATGAATACATGTGGCATGGAGCTGCACGGATACCGAAAGCATGCTTCCTGGATTAATCAGATGTGGGTAATGGTGTACCAAAGGAATCTTGGTCCTTTTTGGTCACTCATCTATACAAAGGATTTGGATATAGTTGGAAAAGAATGATATTGAAGTTTGGTGATAATTAGAACAGATAGTACATGGAGGAAGACATTTTACAGGAGGACACGCGCAAATTAGTGGATTAGACAGGTAGATGACAATAGCCAAAAAAAAAAAGAACTGTTACCTTTTGGAAAAGATAGTTTAAAACCAAAGTACAAAACAGTGATTGACTGTAGAGTAACAGAACTGACAGTGCAATGTTAGCAGCAAAACATTTTAGGCTGAGGGCACGCATGTGGAGGGGAAACAAATCAACAGTTACTTAATATTGACTGTATTGATTACCCCTCTCCCAGTTGAGGTATTTCAGTGGTGATCCATCAGACCATTGCCAGCCACCATCAATATCCAAATCATTCAGGCCAATCCACAGAGTAGCACTATAACCAGTCAGGAGACCTAGAGAAGGAGACAACTCACATCAGAATGCAAAACATCGGAGTAAAACTGCTAGATTTTGACATCCTACTTAGACTAACCTCAAGTGTTTAAGGGCGTTGTCGCTTCAGATGGAGATGGTTCTTCTAGCACCTCATTGGTTGTTCTGCCGCACTCAACTTTTAAAATTCATTTTCAGGAGGAAGGCATTGCTGGCGTTAGTGCTGATCCCTAGCTGACCTGGAAACGGTGGTGGGTGAGCTTTTCTCTTAAACTGCTGCAGTCTGGGTAGTGACAACATTCCCACTTTATCTGCAGTGGATTGACCAGAGACAATGAGTGGCAGCCAGGCCACCTCAGATGGAATGTAAAAGTCAACCAGAGAGGTGTGGGTCTGGGGTACATGTTGTCTAAACCAATTTAAGACAGAAGGGTTCTTCCCCCAAAAGTCTTTAGCAAACCAGTTGGGTTGGTGGTCGACAATCTGACGGCTTTGTAGTCATACAGCCATACAGCACTGAAACAGACGCTTCAGTCCAACCAGTGCATTCCAATCATAATCCCAAACTAGACTAGTCCCATCTGCCTGCATGTGGCCCATATCCCTTCAATCCCTTCCTATTCACATATTTATCTAAATAGCTTTTAAACAGTGTAACTGTAGCCGCATACACCACTTCCTCTGGAAGTTCATTCCACACACAAACCACTCTGTGTAAAAAAAAAAAATTGCCTCATGTCTTTTTTTAAAATAGTCACTTATACTGTCATATTTTTACTTACACATCCAAATCTTCAAACTGCTGGGATGGGATTAATAGTCCAGTAACATAATCACTGTACTACCATATCTCAAAGCTTTGTCAAGTTCTAAGAGTCTTCAACTGCTGCCTTGAAACAAATGACCACATTTTAAATCACAACTGGAAGAGGCTTGGAACTAGGCCAAGCCCAGGAATACTGTGACTCCACTTTCTCAATAATCCTCCTCTGCCCTTTGACAAGTACCTGACCTCCATTGACTCAGGAGGATGGGAGAGAGCAAGGTCAGTGGATAATGAATGTATGTCCTGACACCACACATGGGAAATTGGGATCCACTTTAAAACAAAGATGTTTCGAAAATTTCCACTAACCCCATTGTAAAATCAGAGAGATGGCAATTAGTGAGTCAGGAGTTAGTATATTCCAATCAGTGGTGCTCCTGTGCAGTACAAGAACATACTAATAGTGCCCACTTCACCCACTCTTTACTCTTTCAAAGTCAAATGCATAAAACTGAAGCAGGCATTAACTTAAGGGATCAGACTACAGGCGCTCAGAGCCTGAACTCTGTTAAGTATCATCTCCTGAAGACATGGCCCTCGGCCAACTGCCAGAGGAAGTGACTCACAACATGTGAACCTTCCAACTTGGGTTGAGGCAGGAGCTCCCGTCAGCTCTAGCCGAGTCCCTCCTCGAGAGTTTGAGCCAAGGCGGGTCACATGACCAGTAGAGGCCAGCTGTGGAATAGAAACACTTGAAAGGTACACAAACATTGGAACATGACCTGTCAAAGAGACCACAATTTACGCAGTAGGAGCCCCGGAGTCCAAATCTCACCAGTTGCCTTTCCCTAATTTACATAACTCAGTAGAAGCAGGTGCTAGCATTGTGAGAGTCAAAGAGACTGGTTGATGCCCTAGGAATATAGAACTTAGAAGCTGAAATAGGCCATTTGGCCCTTCAACCTTGCTCTCCAACTCGATACAATCTTGGTTAATCCGATTATGGTTTGAAATCCACTTTACTGCCTGCTCCCGACAACTCTCGACTGCCTTGTCTATTAAAAAAAGTCTAACTTGACCCTGAATAAATTCAATGACCAAGCCTCTATTGCTCTATGTGGAAGAGAATTCCACAAATTAATGATCCAGTAAGAAAAAAAAAACATTTTTTTAAAGTTGTATCCCCTAGTTCTGTACAGTACAGGGTCATCACTGTTCAACCACGGAGCTGCTAACCCGGCTGCTAAAACGACTCGGAAAATTCTAGAATGTACAATGTGTGAGCATGATGTGCCTCCTGATGGTTTGTTATTAAAAACATTCAAATGGATTGCCATTAGCAGCAAGCAGTCCCAAAAAGTGAAGCCATCCCATCTCCGCTCCTCCTCCAAAGGCCAATCCTCCCACTGAAAGACTTTGGGAATCACATGCGTCCCATCTTGATTAACAGTTCATTCCGCTCAAACGACCTCAAGACTCATAACAGTAACTAAGATGGTGCCATCTCCACTGATTGCTGTTGATATCCTTTCAGAGGGTCCCAACTCAGCAAAAGCTTGTCAAAAAGGAGGGAATTAGTGCCAGATTGTAATATTTCCAGGAGTAAAACCTTACAAAGTTGATTCCTTAGGGAATGAAGTTGAAAGCCTTGGCTCTGGTGTGATAGCAAAGAGCTGGAACAGTAAACTGAATGCACAACTAAAAACGTTTTGATCTCTAAGAGGATGAAAGATTATCGGGGATATGCAAGAATGTACTGTTGAGGTTAAGACCAGATCAACCACAATCTTATTGAATGAAGAAGCAGGATCAAAGGACTGAGTGGCGAGCTCATGCTTCTTGTTTGCATGAGCGTATCTTTGTATGCTGTAAAACTTACAAGGAGTAAAAAAACAGGATGAATAAACCTAGGATTGCTTTCATAGAATCCCTACAGTGTGGCAGCAGGCCATTCAGCCCATCACATCCACACCGACCCTCAAGAGCCAGACTCACCCCTCTACAATCCTGTATTACTCATGGAAAAGAGAATATCCCTGCACACTATGGGCAATTTAACATGACCAGTCCAACTAACCTGCACATCTTTGGGCCGTAGGGGAAAACTGGAGCATCTGGAGGAAACCCATGCAGACATGAGAATGGGCAACTGTGTGGAGTTTGCACAAAGTGGGAATCGAACCTGAGCCCCTGATGCTATGAGGCAGGAGTGTAAACCAGTCAGCCACCATGCTTTGAAGGATTAATTTCATTATCTAGTTGGCAGTCATGTCTCTGAGACAGACAGTTGAGGATTTCGCAAGTAATCAAGCTCAATATTTCAGTGCAATACCGAGGGTAGCTATGTTTTACAAAGATTTTCAGAGCGGACTGAGTAAAAATTGGTTCACGTGTTTCCTACAGAACAGCAGCAAATACTCAGGTAACGTATTGGCTGTGAAGCACTATTACATCCGAAAGCTGCTGAATAAACATGAGTTACTTCTTTCATCTGTGACAGATTTACAAATTGAATCATTTGCTCCCTGCAGTATCTCAATAGTCCCATTCATTGTAGAGAGTTCATGAAAGATGTAATAAAAAAATAAATTTATATAGCATCTTGCATAATCTCAGGACTTTCTAAAGTATTATACAGCCAATGAGGTGTTTTTTTTGCAGTGCAAGGAGGAAACATGGCAGGGAAGTTGCACATAGCAAGATCCCACAAAGAGTAACATGACATTGACCAGATCATTTTCTGTGTGGGCTAACGAATGAGGGATAAATCTTGCTCACAAACATTGAGGAAAGATTTCCAGTTCTTTAAATGTTCTGTTGGATCTTTTATATCTTGACTAACAAATTAGTGAAAGGATATTTTGAGGCAGGAGGGAATGTTGAGTTGAGGTCACAATCAGATCTTACTGAATGGCAGACCAGGCTTGAGGGGCTGAATGGCCTACTCCTGCACCAATTTCAAACATTTCTTTGTAATTATGTAAACTCTATGAGGACAGACAAGGGCCTTGGTTTATCATCTCATCTCAAAGCCAGGTTTGAAAAAGTGTATCTCTTCCTCAGAACTGGGCTGGAACGTCAGTGCAGATTATACCCTGACCTTTCCGAAGATGGGCTTGAACACGGGACTCAGAGATGGGGGAGTACGCTACTGGCCAAAACATGGCGTTCCTGCCATACCATTGATGTAAGTCTGCTCGTGAAGTTCAGTAATGCTCAGGAGATCAGAGTTCTGCTGCTGACAGCTAATGCGGGCCTCACTCCAGGAGAGAGTGGACTGGAAGTTGAATTGGTAGCAGCTATTGCTCATTGGGTCCTTGTCCCAGAAGGTTTCACAGTCATCACCTGAAGAAAGAGAATGTTGATCAGTAAAAGTTGACACACCCAAGAGTCTCAGCTAATGCAGCTGACTGACCTGGCAATTAAGACGACAACAGATCATAAACAAACTGGTCAGACAATATATTTTCACAGTGACGAGAAAGGAAACATAGTTGTAAAGCAGAGCTGTCAAAATCTCCTAACCCACCGCCCAATAGGTAAAAAAAATACTAACTTAAAATAAACTTCTCATGATGTGAGCTTTACTAACAAAGCTGTAATTTATTGTCCATCCCCAGTCACTGCTGAAAAGCAACGGTGAGCTGACCATGTGGCATAGGACACCCACAATGCTTTCAGGGAAGGAGTTCTAGTATTTTTCCCTAGTAACAGTGATACATTTCCAAGTCCGGATGGCGAGTGGCTCGGACAGGAACTGGCAGGTGACAGTTCTCCCATTCATCATTGTGATGTCACCGGTTTGTTAAGGGGTGGTTTTAAAGCAGTCTTGGTGAGTTCCTGTAGTTTCATAGACTTGTACAGGAAACAGACCTTTTGATCCAACTCGTTAATGCCAACCAGATATCCTAAATTAATCTAGTCCCATTTGCCAGCATTTGGTCCATACCTCTCTAAACCCTTCCTATTCATGCACCATCCAGATGTCTTTTAAATGTGTGCATCCATGTAGATCCTACATATTGTACCATACTTGGTTTCAGATTATTTCTGAACATCCAAGTCTATGAGCTCTGTACTGGTGGCAACGCTCTATCCCTGTCCCACCAAATTTCCTTCACCTCACTCCTCCCATACTTATAATCCTCTTTATCACCTACAATATTCTTACACACATATTCCATCTATCCTTCCATTCCTTCTCCCTTGTCCCACTATCTCCTTCATTATCCTCACTCCACCTTGTCCTTTGCCCCAACTCCTCACTCTATTTGATCTCCACTTACCATCTTCCCCATTCAACCTTATCCTTCTATTGTGTCAGCTGTAGCTCAATGGATGCCATATTAATGATAATTGTTTCAATCAATCACTCGCAAAGATTTGTTTAACTCTGTGGATTACTTTATTATAAGTTATATTACAAGTTAGAAAGCAGATATTACTGCAACCAATTGGTTTCTTGCGTGCAGTTTGCAGATATGCAGCAGACTAACTGCCAGGCAGAGTCTCAACATTATGTACAGAGGATAGGGCAACTTTAAAGGTGAAGTTTGTTAAAAGTGACGTACATAGAGTTTAGATGAGAGGCCCACTCCAGGATGAGAAGAGCAATTCAGGCTCATGCGCCTGCATTGAGAGGTGCTGTCTTTCAGACAAACCTTTCAAATGGATGTAAAGGAATCCATGTATATTTTTGAGGAGGAGGGGGGAGCTGTGCCCTGGTTAATATTTATCCCCAATAAACATTACTGAAAAATAGATAATCATATCATTATCCCAGTATTGTTAGGGAGGGCTTGCTGTGCGCAAATTAGCTATTACATTCCATATAACAGTGGCTGCACCTCGAAATGTAATTAATTGACTGTAAAGTGCTTTAGAATGTCTGATGGCCATGAAACATGTTGTATAAATATAACTACTTCTTCTCAGTTTTCTTCTTGTCCATTCCCCCTTCTTATTCCTTCTCCCAAAAACTCCCTCCAATTGCCACAAACCTTTCCCTTTCATATTTCTCTCTCCCTCTCCACCACCTTCCTCTTGTTCCTTTCCTGTGCTAATGGATATTATTTATAAGGGCTTGCAGTAGGCATTTGATAAGATTCCACATAAAGGACAGCTAATAAAAATGAGAATGAACCTAACTAGAGGATTTCTGACTGGCTCAGACAGGAAATTGATTGAGTGGCAGGAAACAGAATATAGAAAAGGGTGCTGGGTCTGTACACCAACTGGCAGATTGTGACAAGTGGCCAGGGGATCTATACTGGGGTCCCAGCTTTGTGTGATATTTACAAATGATCTGGATAAAGAAGTAGACAGAAGTGTTAGCCAAGTTTGCTGGCAACACAGTGAGCAATGCTGGGCACAGAAAATTCCATAGACTTTGATAGATTAAACTAAGTGGGAAAAAAAAGTAACAGATTGAGTTCAAAACGGACGAGTATGAGATCATCTGCTTTGGAGCCAATAATACATCCAAATATTTTCAAAATAGTGAGAAGCTCAAAGTTGTAGATGAATGGAGAGATTAAGGAGTTCAACTATAGAAATCACTAAAAAATTTCATGAATTCCATGAATATTTTATTTCTTCTTGATATCAGTCCATTATTGGTCCATGATGGCAGAGCTCATCCACTCTGATGACTTTTCTTTCTTTCTTCATCTTTTTTTGAAAAGGTTTTTCTTTCTCTACTTGTTTTCTAGAGGGAGTTCGGTCACGGAGGCAATGGAAGCAGTGGCAATGGCTGGGGACTTTGGCAGTTGGCCACAAGGCAGTTGGTGTGCCCTGGCAGAACTCTGGCAATCAGTGGCACTGGGGCTTCTTTGGGAATAAGACAACATGGTGGCTCAGTGGTTAGCACTGCTGCCTCACAGTGCCAGGGGCCCAGGATCGATCCCAGCCTTGGGCGACTTCAAACTCCACACAGATACATTCTCCCCGTGTCTGCGTGGGTTTCCTCCGGGTGCTCCGATTTCCTCCCACAGTCCAAAGATGTGCAGGTTCGGTGGATTGGCCATGCTAAATTGCCACGCTAAATTGCCACATAGTGTTCAGGGACACGCAGGCTGGATAGGTTAGCCATGGGAAATGTGGGGTTACAGGGATAGGGTGGTAAGGAGGGTCTGGATGGGATGCTCTTCAGAGAGTCAGGGTGGACTTGATGGGCCAAATGGCCTCTTTCAGCACTGTAGTGATTGTATGATTCTATGAATATGAGGGCTTGAATATGAATGCTAACCACATTCACACAAATGCCAAAAGTAATATTTTTATCCTTAAATGCTACACATGGCCTTCTCTAACTCTAATGGGTGAAGTTGAGCACAAAGCCTGTTTTTCTCCTATTCCAACCTTGCCTTGCTCTCTCCCGCAGACAGTGACTCAACTTCGGGTGCTCACCCAGTGGTGCCAGCTGCTACCTCACACAATTGGCCATTCTTCCTGAATGAGGCTGAACAGCCAATGCTGGCAAGCTGGTCAAAACAAGAGCATCTCAGAGCCAAGTCCAACACTGTCCTCATGTGACATTCAAACACTTTCCAGCAGCAGCTCCTGCCGAATGCCTCCTGCCACCATCCAGAGATATTGCAGACCTTTTGATGCAGCAAAGTGTGGGGGCTCAAAAACCTGCCTTCCCAGGTTGGGTGGATTTTCTAAAACTTGGGTCTCACACCATAAAATTACCTGGCATGTGCCCCAGACAAGACAGGTCACTAATACACCAAGCCTCGCTGGAAATCTCAGAAAATAATTGGCTGTATTGTAAGCTGTGGACTTATAAATGACATGAGGCACAAATTATAAATCATAGCACATTTCAGCAGAATGATAAACCTGTGTAGCTCTGGAACATGATGAATACTTTCTGGAGTTTGGGCAAGGGTCGGTATTTTGTTATAAAAGAAGGTGATTGGAAAGTGCTGAAGAAGACACTTTCCCTTCCTACATGAAATGAGAAAGAGAGATTGTGAAGGCAACACAGAGGGAGGGGAAGAGACAGAGACAAGAGATAGGACAGAGAGAGAATAATCCTGGAAAAGGGAACCATAGAGCAGAGACAGCATAGTGAGGATGGACCAGAGTCCGGTGGAGGTCTGGATAGGCCTTATGGAAAAAGTCAGGCACAAAGTTGTGCTACAGAGCGAAGTAGGGTACAAGGACTGAAGGCTGGTCAGAGGGTGAGAGCCAGTCAGAGGGCAAAGGAGGTTCTGAGGGTCAGTCAAAGTGTGAGCGAGTGTAATGAGGACTGAGGACTGGTCAGAGTTGTAGGGAGGGTTTGAAGGCCAATCAGAGCATGAGGGAGGGTGAGAGGGACAGTCAGATCGTGAGGGAGGGTGAGGGGGCTGATTAGAGTGCGAGGATGGGCCAGAGCATGAGGCAGACAATGACAGGCAGTGGATAGGCAAGAGAGCTGGCACACAACTGATGGTGAACAAAATACACAGCAAAGGTGATCTAGCCTTTGGCAGACCTGTTAAAGCTTGCAGTTTTCTAAATTGCTTATAAATCATTTTAAACATAACTGAAAATTACATTTTTCACAGGTTTTGTTTTTGTAAATCTTCAAAGAGGAAAACTTCATCAGCTGTTGACTTCTGGTCCTTTTTTTTAAAACTCCTTCCATAGCAAAATTTAAAGCTAGACTTTGTCCTGGGAGTTAAAAACACTGAAGGAGCTCGCTGTCATTCTAACTAAATTTTAAACATGATCTGAGAGAACAGAGAACCCATATATGGGCAAAGACAAGAGGAAGTTTGATCCAAAATCTAGGTTGCACTTATATATTCCAGAGACAGACTCATCAAACAAAAACACTTACTTTTGACGGGACAGAATCCCCATTGTTCATCCAGCCCATAATCTACAGTTGTTGCGCACCAGAGGTGTCCATCTTCTCGGCCAATACTAGTGCAGTCATGGTACCACTGGCTGTCGTACATAAATGGAATGGTGCATGGCTTCCCATGAGAATTCCCCTGGATGGTGTAAATCTCTAAAAGAAAGAAATAATATTGTTCAGAAAGTAAAAGGTCACAGTGTATATCGGCACCAACAAGTTCCAGCTGAATGGGGCTGACCATGGGCAACAGTCACGCCTGAAGGTGACTGGGACTGACTTGTACACATATCATTCACACTACTTAACCCATTACCGTCACCACTCGCTGCATTTGCTGCTGAAATCCTACTCCTACTGCAGTTACCGTCACAAGTTCATTTAAATTAAAATCGTGAAGACCAATGTCCACCTTCAACTCTCTGGCTGATTAGGGATGTCAATACTCAATTTTGTGGATAACCAAAGTGCACAGTGATAGAAACAGAAAAATGCATGTTAGGTAGTCTTGTTTTTTAAAAAAATATTAAAACTACATTCTAATATAGTTATTTCAAAAGATATAGGTTCATTGAGATACAATAGCAAGGATTTGTAAAAGGCAAATCACATCTTATTTCTTTATTTTATAACTTTATTTATTTTTCTACCTATACTAAAAACAATGATAATGCTCTACTTTTAACTTTGTTTATCTACGTTACCACTTCTACCTAAGTACCTTCGTACCTAAGACAGCGCAGAGTGTGGCGACATTGTAAACTTTTCACCGTACTCCTGTATTTGAGTACATGTGACAATTAAACTTAAATCAAATAAATCAAATCAGACCTGAAAAATGATTTGGAGAATCGAGGGAAAGTTATGCTAAGCCTTCCTAAGTCACAGGTTACGCCTCAGAGTACTGCGGTCGCTTTAGGCTCTACAACTTAAAAAGGAAGTCATAATCTTGGCGGGGATGACTAACTGGCAACAGGGATAATGGGTTTCACAGAATCTCAGAAGTGTTATGGTGCAGAATGATGCCATTTAGCCCATCATGTCTGCACTGGGCTCTCTGATGGAGTACCACGATTTGGTGCCGTTCTCCTGCCCAGAGCCCTGCACATTATTTCTATTTAAATAATCATCCAATGCTGTTTCCTTGAAGGCCTCAATCAAACCTGCCACCACCATACTTTCAGGCAGTACTTTCCAGACCCTAATCACCCCCTGTGTGAGGAAAGAAAAACATCCATAGCATTTATTTCTTTTGCAAACCTGTTTATCTGTGTCCTCTCATTTTGATCCTTTTATGAGTGAGACCAGCTTTTCCCTGTCTACTCAGGGTTAATTCTGTTAATTCGAAGAAAGCAGAAAAGCTAGTGTTATCCTCCTTAAAGCAGAGAAGGGTATAAGGTTAATAGCAGTGTCCAAAATTAGCTGTGATAAAATGGTTTCGTAGCAGTCAAGTGAATCAAGAGTGTAGAGAAGCATTTAGGGAATAGTAACCATTGTATCATGGGTTTAGGTGAGAGTGTGAAAAGGCAAGGAGAAGTCGAAGTCAAAGTCAGAGTAAAACAACACTTAAATCAGTGGAAGGCCATTTGGAGTGAAAATAGATTCGCCACAAATGGGGCAGCATGGTGGCTCAGTGGTTAACACTGCTGCCTCACAGTACCAGGGATCCAGGTTCAATTCCACCATTGGGCGCATGTCTGTGTGGAGTTTGCACATTCTCCCCATGTCTGAGTGGGTTTCCTCTGTGTGCTCCAGTTTCCTCCCATAACAGGAATGTGTAGGAGGTTGGATCTGGGTGGGTTGCTCCTTGGAGAGTGGGTTTGTTGCCACGCTGCAGGTTTCTGTGATGCTATGATACAGGCAAAGTTTGGCAAGCAATATTGCAGTGGAACAATGGACTGTCTTTAAAGAGATGGTTGGGTTCAATTGAGGTTCCTTCCTCAGAGGATGATATGGTCAGACAAATAAATCCAGAGTTTCTAAATGACAAAAAAGATAGCAAGCAAGATGAAGCAGAAAGAGTGCATGTGGCTGAAACACATTGATAACATCAATGAAAATAGGGCTGAATATAGAAGGTTCAGAGGTCCTGAAGAAACAAATGAAAGAAGCAATGAGAGAGCATTGGCAGCTGACAGAAACAGAATCCAAATTACACAGGCATGAAATTTTTAAGACTGGTAAAGAGAGGTATGGGACTAATAATGGATCAGAAAGGAAACCTGCATACAAAGATAGAAGCATACTAAATGAGTGCTTTACATCAGTCTTTACAAAGGAAAAGGATGCAAAAGGAGACGCTAATTGAACTACTAGAAGACCTAACAATTGATTAACAGAGTTAACATTTAGAGACTAGCATGAAGAATCATATTGGACTCTAAACATTAATTCTGTTCTGTCTCTGTAGATGTTGCCAGACCTGTCGAGTTTCTCCAGTACTTTCTCTGTTTCTTTCAGATTTCCAGCCCCTGCAGTATATTGCCTGTATTAAATATTTGGCTGGAGGTGAAGCCACGATGACCTCTCAGAATGCACCAAGGATAAGGCGGCACGGAAAGGAGGAAATTATGGAGGTACTGGCCATAACTGTATTTCTGAGGAGGATTGTACATTTGGTGCTAAAGAACTGGAGAACTTTGAACACTATGCTTTATTGAAACAGTGTGCAAAGATCAGCCCAACCACTGTGGGCCCAGTCAGTTTAATCGCATTAGAAAACAACAATACAGGCCAAATGCAAATTAATTACGGAAATCCACAATGGATTTGTCAAAGGTAAATCATGTTTAACTTGTATGTGGAGGTGCCGATGTTGGACTGGGGTGGACAAAGTCAGAAGTTATATGACACCAGGTTATAGTCCAACAGGTTTATTTGAAATCACAAGCTTTTGGAGTGCTGCTCCTTCATCAGATGAAGTCTTCACCTGAAGAAGGAGCAGCGCTCCGAAAGTTTGTGATTTCAAATAAACCTGGACTATAACCCGGTGTCACGTGACTTCTGACTACATTTAGCTTTTGATACGGAGTCACTAGACTCAAAACGTTAACTGTTTCCCCACAGATATTTCAGACCTGCTGAGTTTCGCCAGCAATTTCTGTTGGTGTTTCAGAATATCACCAGTTTTGGAAATCCAAAATAAATAGATAAAGGTTTTAGACATTCATCAGGTCAGGGAATTTCTATGCAAAGAGAAACAATGTGCATGATTCAGGATGCCAACCTTCCATTAGTGAAAAGCCATCAAACAAAAACATTAACATCAGCAGTAAGGGTAAAATTTGATGTTAAGAAATGTGAGGTGATTCATTTAGAGGGAGAATAAGTTAAGAACATATAAATGTATAAATTTATTAAAAGCTTTACAGATACAGCAGAACATTGTAGGGGTAGAGAAAGACACAAAGACAACTTGGAACCATAAAACAAATGGATATAGGATCATAGAGTTTATTAGTAGAAGCAGTGAATAAAGAAAAAGGAAGTAACATTACACCATCGAATCATTCTGTGGACAGAGTATTGCATCCAGTTTTGGCTCCCTTACTGTAGAAATGCCAGGGAGAAAGTACAGAAAAGTTTCACTTTCTGTCACCAAGGATGAAGGATTTGAGTTGAAACGCAAGTTCATTTTATTGGAATAAAGAGGATTTTAAAAAAATAACTCTCAGGATGCGAGCATTGCTGGCCAGACCAGCATTCGTTTCCCATCCCCAATTGTCCTTGAGGAGGTGGTTTTAAGCAGCCCTCTTGAAGGCTGCATTCCAAGTGCTGTGTGTACATCCACAGTGCATTTAAGAACAAAGTTCCAGGAACCAGTGACACTGAGGAACATATTTCCAGATCAGGATGGTGTGGGGCTTGGAACAGAACTTACAGATGGTGCCGCTCCCTGATTTTCTGCCCTTGTCCTTCTAAGTTTCAGAAGTTAATGTTGAAGGATCCTGGGTGAGTTGCTACAGTGAATCTTGCAGCTGGTAAACACTGCTGCTGGACAGAGTTAATGATGAAGTTGGTGGATGAGCTGCTTTGTCCTGCATAGTGTTGAAATTCTTGAGTGTTGTTGGAGCTGCACTCATTCAAGTAAATGGAGAACATTCCATCACAAGTCTGGCTTGTGCTTCAGAGAAGGGGGTGGCCTTCTAAGATGGTGGACTTGGGAGTAAAGAGCTGAGTTACACGCCACAGAATTCACAATCTTTAATCTTACTCTTGCAGCCCTAACCCTAACCCTAACCCTATCGCAGGTTTGGTTTCTCGTCAATAGGGATTCAGTGATGGCAATACTGTTGTTTTTCAAATGCAAATGATTGAATTTTCTTTTGTCAGAGAAGCTTTATACCTGGCACTAGTTTAACATGAGTGTCATATGTTTTACTCGCCTGGATGAGTGCGGCTCCAACAAAGAAGCTCAACAATCTCTCGGAAAAACATGAATTGCAAAGGTTAGTGTGCACCGAGAGCAAACAATCAGAAAAGCTAATAGGGTGCCATAATTCATTGTGACGGAACTGAATGCAAGAATATGGAGGTTACACTTCAGTTATACAAGGCACTGGGGGGCTACATCTGGAGTACTGCGTACAATAGTGATCACTATATTTAAAGAAGAATATTAATGCGGTGAAAGCAGTTCAGAGAAGGTTTGCTACACTAAATCTGGAATGAGCAAATTGCCTTATGAGAAACGGTTATGCAAGGCTAAGCCTGTATTCTCTGGAGTTCAGAAGAGTCAGGGCTAACTTAATTGAAACATATAAATTCCTGAAAGGACTTACCGGGTGGATCTGGAAAGGATGTTTCTTGTGGAAGAACCTAGAATTAGCAATCATAGTTGAAAAATAAGGAGTTCTCCATTTAAGACAGAGACGAGGAAACATTATTTTTCTCAGAGTTGAGTGTGTCTTTGGAATGCCCTTCCTCAAAAGGCAGTGGATGCACAACCTTTAAAATTTTTAAGACAGAGGTAGATAGGTTCTTAATTACCAAGAGGATGAAAGATTTTCAGGGATGTGCAGGAACGTACAGTTGAGGTTAGAATCAGTCTGCCACGATCTTACTGAATGGTAGAGCAGGCTCAAAAGGCAGAGTGCCCTACTCTTATTCCCTGTTTGTATGTTCAAATAATATCATGGAAAATTGTGGTGAAGTGGTAATGTGGGTTCTCATAATCCAGGATCCCAAACTGGTGCTCTGCCACTCAGGTTCAAATCACACCATGGCAGCTGTACATTTAATTAACAAATCTGGAAATAAAATTAGTTAGAAACTACTGCATTCTCATTAAAAAAAGGAGATGATTCAGTCTTCCTGATTTACCTCGTGAAAACCTATTTGGATTAGTCAGAGCTCAAGGAACTTGAGTAAAGAAACTTAACTGGACAAAAACAAGACGACTAGGGACTTTCTTTCACACAGAGGGCCAGTAGGGAGAGTGAACTGAATTTATAACATTGTTAAAGGTGAACTACATAGCATTTGAAAAGTCTTTGGGACCTTTCCAATAATGGCACTTAAATTAGCCCCTTTCAGTGCTGTTTTGAATATACGACTCTTTGAAGTATCATCCATCATTAGAGATAGCACAGGACTACTTTGTTAGAACACAGTGACTAAACCATTGAAAAGTAGAGGAAGTTTCCCCACAAAGAAATAATTAAAATTTACAAACATACAGGTGTCTGAGATCACATCTGTATTCCCAGTGTATCCTGCAATTGGCATCCAACAACCCTTAAAACAAATTACCAAGTTGAAAAAGAGATCAAGATTTTCTGGTTAGTTCCTCCAGTTAAGTATCACAAGAAAATCATTACCACAAAAACTCAACCTGAGACAAATATCATAAACAAGGGGGGAAAAAAGGATAATAAAAGTCATTTATCATTATGGCTCCAATTCCAATAAACAGGCAAAGCGTGTTCTAAAACGAGATACAGATCCCACCTTAAAAACAGCTAAAAATCAGGAACTTACGGGATCGTAACATAAAACTGTTGGTGTTCTGATCAGTTACAATTGTCTGGATCAGAAACTGCTGACATTAATATACTCCAGAGGTAAAAATCAAACAGTTGTGTGACAGGTATTAATCAAATATTAATCACCATATTAATCAAAAAAAACAATACTACAGATGATGGAAACCTGAAATAAAATCAGAAAGTGTTGCAAATACTCAGCAGGCTAGACAGCATCATTGAAGGGGGGGTGGGGGGGAGATGTGAGAGAGAGAGACTGAGACACATCAGAGTATTAATGCTTTAAGTCAAGGATAGGCCTTCTTCTGCTTTAATTTCAGATACCAACATTAGTTGAGTTTCTGCGCATTGTTTGACAGTACAACAGAAATGCAATGTTGAGCATATAATTAAGCACTGCATCACATTGAGTGTATAGGGACTTGTGGTGCAGTGGAGCCATGAGACCGAGGTTCACGTTCCACCTGCTACAGAGATATATAATTATCTCTGAATGGGGTGATAAAAAAAATCTATATTGAATGGGTCTGGAAAGGAAGGAATTCGCTGCAAGAGTCCTACTTAGGATAGGTACAAGAGAAACTCTGCTAAAAGAAAGCTTTTATTCTTGCTCCTTAATTGCTGAAAATAATCAGGTAAAAACTGGCACTTTTGATGCGCAACATGTTGATGATATGTTGACCCTTCAGGACATGTTTAAAAGGAAGGAGGGTCCATGAGGACCAGTTTTGACATTTAAATCACCTCAAAGACTCATGGTTAATCAATCTCTGACCAACTCGCACTCTGTCAAATACATTTTCCCAATGGGATGTTCTAATGTCATTGTATGGGGAGAAAAGGGCTATGGGTCCAAAGAAAACAGCAGCTCCTGCACTCTAAGGGAGCTGGATTAAACTGTTCACATCAGCTTGGTGGTTTTTAGCCTGGCCAATAGGTATCCCTCAATCAGTGTTACAAAAACAGATCATCTGGTCATAGAATCAAGGAATCCCTATAGCACAGATAGAGGCCATTTGGCCCAATCCAGTCTGCACCGATCCTCTAAAGAGCATCCCATTCAGACCCAACCCTCCACCTTATCCCCATAACCCTGCATTTCCCATGACTAATCCACATAGCCTGCACATCCCTGGACACTACAGGGACTTGAGCATGGTCAATCCACTTGCATATTTGGGAGGAAATTGGAGCACCCAACAGAAACCCATGTAGACACGGGGATGTGCAAACTCCACACAGACAGTCACCCGAGGCTGGAATCGAACCTGGGTCCCTGTGCTGTGAAGCAGCAGTATTAATGACTGAGCCACCATGCCGCCCCTAGTAATCAGGTTGCTGTTTCTGGGATCTTGCCATGTGCAACTGGCTTCTGCAGTTCCTACACTACAACAGGGATGAAGCATGCTAGGCTATCCTGTGGTTAAAGGTGCTATTTAAATGCAAGATTTTCTTGTATTGCTATTCACTAAATGTGAAGGTACACGTGACACAACGCAACGTCACTCCACCATTGCTCACGTGTGTCTCAAGATGCTTCCTGATTGAACTTTGCTGCACCATCCCAGGGCAGTGTTTGATGAATCCTGAGCTGTATCCTGGGACTGAACATGGTGTCATTTAGCTCCTCTCACCATCATGCAGCAACCAAAAAGTCCTGTGATCAAACCACCGCAATGAGGCAACAACAGCACGTGTTAATATAGCCCCTTTAATACAATACAAAACATTTCAGTCAGGACACAGCAGTATTCTACAGACTTGGATTATTAGTTTGTAGAAAGTAAGCTCAAAATTCTACCACAGCAGTTTGAGAATTTCAATTCACTTTAAAACAATCTGGCAAATGAGCATAAATGGTCGCTCATGCTTGATCAGAGAGGAATCTGATCTATACGTGATATGAATGGCTGCTCTCTGAAATGCTTAGTGAGCTAGTCGAAAGCATTAAACCTGCTATAAATGCAAGGAGGTCACCACTAAATCAGGGCAACTAGCAATTGGTCATAAATGCTGGTCTTGTCATTGTGAAAATGCACAAATACTAGGATTAGGACTGGAACATTTTGGAAATCACTTTCCACCACTTCTAGTTTTCTGGCACATGGTTTGCTGTCTGGATCTCATTTACATTACACAGGCTTAAGGGAATGCTGTTGAGTTTTTGGATTCATTTGCAACACTCTCCACATTTCTGAGACAATTGGTTGCTTCTGAGTTGTCCTAATGTCTGGTTAACATTTGGGCAAATTAGTTGTCATGTTTTCTAACATGACAGCAACTGACTGCACTTCTAAAATAATTAAGTGATTAGAGCCAGGGCCCTGGGGTGCTACAGAAATGCAAATCTTCTTTCAATGGTACTGTCAGAAACAACTAATAGGGTGAATTAGCTTTTGATGAGTGAGGGTTTCCCTGAACTTTAATGAGATCTGTAGGCTTTCCAATTTACTGAGAACATTAACTTAGAGCTTCATTAATACCCAATATTACCATGATAAGGCCGAGCACACAGGTCCTCATCAGTGTTGTAAATCCTCCACACATCAGCTTGGTTCGTGTTGGGCCCTTGGGTACTGGCTTTAGACTGTGGGTTCAGGTAGCTGCTGAGTTGACTGCCCAGACTATTACAATGCCATCGCATCTGGGCAGACTCCTGGTTACACTCCATCATACCCAGTGTGGGCATAGTGTCGTTCTTCCTCAGGATGCTCAGACACTGCTTGGATCCAAGATTAAAGAGCCTTAGTCTAGATACCCACTTCCACTGCTGCTGGTTGAAGCTTTCATTGCAAGATGGAGCCAGTCTTACACTGAAGCCTCTGCTCTCCAGGCAACTAGCTGCTTTCTCACTGTATATCAGAAATATGTTGGCATCTGTAAATCAGAACAACATAACTCAGATGAAATACAAGAGTTCGTAAGAGCAATCAACATTCAACAATATCAAACCAGACTACCCAATTTAAAATTGTGGGAAAAATATATCATTTGTATTTTACATCAAGTACTCAGTACCATGAATGAACTATGTTGCAAAGTTGGGTACAATGCTTGTGGATTGGGGGACAGGATGATAGAATTTGATGTTTATAAAATGCTGGGGGGGGAAAAGCATCTTGGGTTTCTCCTCAGCAGTGGATGGCTGGTGGGGGAATATATAAATGAAACACGTTTCGTCCTGACTGCATATCCTGTAATCCTTGCATATTCCAACCAAACAATGGCAACTCTGACACTGCAGCACTCCATCAAACCTATATTGAATTGTCAGGAAAGATTGTGTGCTCGAGTTTCTGACTCAGAGGCAAGAGTGCTACCCATAAAGCAACAAGGCAAGGTGTAAAGTTCAACAGCAACTTGATTCCATCAGTGTTTCAATGGAAGGAATAGGTTAAAATAATCCCTCTTCCTCCATCAGTCACACTCTACACACTGCAACATTAGCGCAACATTCCAAACTTAGTATCCATCACAGTAATTTCTATTCTGGTTGTTTATTTGGACAGGAGACAGTCCCATTCCCTCTGTTTACACAGCTTATACTCAAAACAGCTTACTCTGTCCAGCAGCCCTGCTCATAATCTCAAGATATTCTGAATACAGTCACTGTCATAGACTAGGCCCTACTGCTTCTGTTCTCGAAAAGAAAGCCTTATTTGTTTCTTGCACATTTTGTACTATCCAAGTTGAGGGGCCTTTTAAATTTCAAGCACCTCATTTCAGCCTCCGGCACAAGAGGCGTGGGATGGATACAGAATCTACTCAGTTCCATTAACACGGTTCATCGTCAAATCTCAGGGGTCTTCCAAATCTCCATGACACCTCTACGCACAACTCAGGAGTTAAAAGAGCACAGTTCAAAACAAGACTGTGTTCTTTTCATTTTCTTCAAAAAAAATGCTCTAAACGATATTAGAAATGGATAAATATTGCCAGGTAGGACAGCTGGCAGTAAAAGTCTTTTCATATTATTCATATCTGGTATGTGGACGTTGCCAGCTGGGCAGTATCTACTGCCCATCACCACATGCCCTCTGGAAGTTGGTGATGAACTGGCTTCTTGAACCTCTGCAGTCCATGTGGTGCAGCTACACTCACATTGCTATTAGGGCGGGAGCTGCAGGATTTTGAACCAGTAACAGTAAGGGAATGGCAATACAGGATGGCGAGTGGATTGGAGGGGAGCTTGCAAGTGGTGGTGTTCCCATTCATGTGCCGCCCTTGTCCTTTTAGAGGGTAGAGGCGATGGATCTGTTTGTGCTGTCAAAGGACTTGGTGCACTACTGCATTTGTAGATGTCACACACTCCTGCTATACTGAGCATTGCTGGTGGTGTGTGTTAAATGTGATAATTTGGCCCAAACCCGCAGGAATATAACCGAACCAGAGTCTGCACTCCTCAGGAGACTAGCTGTCTCCTGTTCCGATTCTATTCGGATTTAGGAACAAAGAACCTGACAATTAGTTGAAAATAGGGGGGCAAGGAGGGGCCTTGGTTTGGATGAAGCCTGGGTTAAATCACTTTCTGTGGGAGTTACCTTTTAGGCACAACTAGTTCTGAGTTTTCACTGTTTCATTCCCTAGAAAGACTCGAGGACAAAAATTTGGCTGACACCCCAGTACAGTACTGAATGAATCCTCCAGTATTGGAGGCAGTGTTGAAGAGGTATCAAACTGACGCCATGAATTGGCCCTCTGGTGAGCTGAAAGATCCCTTGACATTATCCTGAAGAACAGGGCAGATGATCCCAGCATCCTGTCCAATATTTAACTTTCAATCAGCAACATTTAAACAGATAATATCTATCTTTCGTGACTGATGAAGTGGATAGTCTCAGTATTGAATCCCCATGGATAGATGAAGGTTTCATTTGCTAAACACTATAAATGCAGCAAACAGGAAGCTAGTCTGAACAAACGATTGAATGTCTGAAGACTTTGATCCAGTTAGCTTTATTTTACTAGATGTCAGTTTGTTTTTTTTGAGGGGGTTGAGTTTGTCATGATACAGAGGCCTCCTGCCAAGAGAGTGGGCTCCTTCCTCTGGCTTTATGTTGTTAGAGAACGTGATCTCTGAAAAGTTAGCTCTTTGTTAAACAAGGCACTGCTACAAAAGGTTGCCAACTGTGGTTGGAGGTAATCCCGGAGGTTACTTCCCATGACCTTCGATCTCCAACTGTCCCTCGTCACCTGCTGTGTTGCACTAAAGGATAAGCTAACATTCATCATTACTTGACTGGATGAATCCTGTCATAAAATAACTATTTTTCCAAACTTTGATATTTTTATACAAAGATGCATAAAAGTGGGAAATAAATCTAGGAGTTATTTTAAAGCTCCAACACTTTCCTTCCCGGATTGCTCACCGTAGTGGACTAGAGATTAAACTTTAATTCCCAGAGATTCCACTGCAATCCTAGAGTTTTGCAATAAAGTATAAACATTCCAAATTCACTGATGATACTAAAATTCATTTCATGGATATCGCCAATATGAGGAAGCAAGAAAAAATGATGAATTTTAAAATATGGATATGCGAAAACAGCATAAAAACATAAAATGCTGGAAATACTCAGAAGTTCATCAGCAGAAGGAAACAGAGTTAATGTTTCAGGGTGATGGACAGATCTGATGAAAGGCTCGCATTGTCAGTCTCTGTTGCTGGCATTTCGCTCTTTGATCAAAAGTCAAAGCCTCCCCAGTGAAAAATCCATTTGCTTCCCAATTAGATGCTGGAAGGAAATGTGTTGCAGAGAGAGACAAATAATATCGGACAACCAGGTGGTGCTCATGTGATTAATCCAGTAAGTTTACATCTGACTAAAGCTGACATTGGTAATATCCATCCTGAAAATGATAGAAGTTTTAAACCCCACCAAGAAACAAAGGAATCACAAAATAACTGTGGATACTATAGGCTGCACACACTCCCTGAGGTTATCAGCTTCAGGGTTGCTCCAGGGCAATGTTGACATTGCAGCCCCTGCGGAAAAGATGGAGCCAACTAGGGAACAGCTAGCTGGAGTTGTTTTTTGACAGTATTTAAAGCTAAATTGATTGTCTGTACCCCTTCCAAGGGCATCCATCACCACACCATTGAATGGACTAGAAGTGTAACTAGGAGACAGGCTTTTTTTTCTTCCAATTTGACTTGGTTTATTATTGTCACATGTACTGAGATATAGTGAAAAGTAGTGTTTTGCAGGCTATCCAGGCCAATCATACCTTATATTAATACATCAGGATAATAGAACATAATGCAGAATGTAGTGTTACAGCTACAGAGAAAGACCAACTCTGATATACGAGAAGTCAGTTCGGAAGTCTGATAACAGAGGGAAAGATGATGTTCTTGAATCTGCTGGTACAAGTTTTCAAACATTTGTATATTCTGCCCACTGGAAGAGGGAAAAAGAGAGTGTAACCGGGGTAGAGAGTATAACAGGTCTGGAGTTTAATCCCTGAACTAACAACTGTTAGCCATTGCTTTTTAAAATGAAGAATAGTTTGGAGGAGGTGGATAGACAGACACACAGATTTTGTGCGTGGTGTGCAACAGAGCGAGTGCATGAGAAAGCGACAGCGAGGGAAAGAGCATGCGAGAGCGAGCCCGCGAAGAGGAAGGAAGACAGCGAGCGTGAGACAGTCAATGTGAGCGTGAGAGAGAGAGGACGCCCTGTAATACGAAGGATATTATTAAGCTGGAGCAGGTTCAGAAGGGATTTACCAGGATGTTGCTGGGAAAGGAGGGCTTGAGTTATAAGAGGAGGCTGGATAGACTGGGACTTTATCCACAGGAGTGTAGGAGGTTGATAGGTGACTTTATAGAGGTTTATAATCTCATGAGGGGCATAGATAAGGTGAATGGCAGGTGTCTTTTCTCCAGGATGGGAGATTTCAAGACTGAAGGGTGTATTTTTCAGGTGAGTGGAGAAAGATTTAAAAAAAAACATGAGGGGAGTTTTTTTTAAAAACACGGTGCAGAATGAACTTCCAGAGGAAGTGGTAGATGCGGGTACAGTTACAACGTTTTGGACATGAATAGGAAAGATTTGGAGGGATATGGGCCAAGCACAGGCAGTTGGGACTAGTTTAGTTTAGGATTATGGTCAGCATAGACTGGTTGGACTGAAGGGTCTGTTTCTGTGCTGCATGACTCCATAAAACTGAAAGTGAGTGAGACAAAATAAGAGAGACAGAATGTGTAAGAGAGACAAGTAAAAGTTCAATGCAGAAAAATTATTAACAGACTATTCTGAAATCTGGGTCACAGCCAAAGTAACTTTCCACGCAGGCTACTGGCAATGGGATTTTTTTTCCTGGATCAATTAGGACTGATTCAATTCACTTCACTATTTCTGGAGACAGTAGTGGTAGATTCCTCAGCCTCCTTTAGGATCCCTCCAGTTGTGCTGATGAGGACTTCCAGTTGGTTTCCAATTCTCAGAAGTCTTATGCAAAGAATTTCAGAGAAGAGAGAAAGATGGGGGACAAAGACTATTGCTCTAGGTAAGTTACTTTGCTGACTGTTGAAATTCAATATCCTTTATTCCAGTCATGAACTGGATCGGGTAACTCCTCACTGAAAGTGGTGTAGATTTGGCACGTCCATCCAAGCAGTTTGTTGCTGCTATAGCTAATATCTTTTGCTTTGTATAAACATTTTGAACCTTTTGCAAGTCCAGCCAATTATATTGTGAATTAACATTTTAGGAAACCCAACATCAGAACACAGTGCAGAAACTGGCTGATTGAACCCATTGGTCTAGGCCTGCGTTCATTGCAAACTAAACCTCATCCCTCTCTAATTACTACCCTGCTTCTCCATGCTCTATTTCTTTCACCCTCGTATGCATCAGGTCTTCCATTATATA